AAATGAATTTGAACGATTGTAGTATCAGGCTGCAACATAACAAAATTGGAAAAAGTGAAGGTCTGAATACTTTCCGAATGCACTATATATCCTGTCACAATTTGATGACTTTTGGCTGTTTACAGTATATGCAATATTAATTAAAACATCCACAAAGCAATACAAACAAAGAATGACATAAAACCCCAGTGAAGATAGCAAACTAACAACAGAATTGTTGACTTATTAGAAGAATACTATTTTATATGACTCAGTTCAAAAACTTACTGTTTTACATTAACTATCATCCTTCATAAATTATGATTTTGCTGGCATTTACTTGTAATGAAGATTAGTTTTGATTTGATGGAATCTTTCCTTCTTACCTGTATAAAATCCATTTTCTATATTTCAAGGCAAAAGAAGCAGAAGCTTTCCTTCTGAGTCTTTCAGAAGAGATCCAGCGAAGGTTAGAAGCAGCTGGTATGAAAGGCAGACGATTAACTCTCAAAATCATGATCAGGAAAGCTGGAGCCCCAGTAGAACCTGCAAAATTTGGAGGTCATGGAATTTGTGACAGTGTTGCCAGGTAAATAGTTTGATACATAAATTTGCCATTGTTTATAGGCTTAAATTTACAAGCTAATATGAACTTATAGAAGCAAACTTGAATGAAATCTCTTTTTTTGTGCCTTCGGGTCAGCTTTTCTCCTGGCAGCTGCCTAGACAACTCCCTGCCGTTTTTTTGGCAAGGTTTTTTGGAAGTGGTTTGCCCTTGCCTTCTTCCCGAGGCTGAAAATGACTGGCCCAAGGTCATTCAGCTGGCTTTGTGCTTAAGGCAGGACTAGAACTCATGTTCTCCCAGTTTCTAGCCTAGTGTCTTAACCATTACACCAAACTGGCTCTTAATTTCAATCATTAGACTTTTTAAAAAAGTATTCTTTTCTCTTAAGTCTGTTGATAGAGTACTCACCTCCTTATAGCATTGCATTTTTATATTGTGATTTTAATGCATTGAAAGCCACCCTGGGAAAACTCTGCTTTCAAGGGTGGTATAAGTTTTTAAAATAACATCATACAAACATTTTGTAAGATATAGAAAATACATTTTAAAAAATTCCTTTTTTTTTTTACAAACGATACTGGCCATAGGAACATGTTGCCAAGTCTGCTGAACTTGTCTTCTCTACTCTCGCACAGGTCCATGTATGTTAGGACCTTATAAAAATGACTGCCAAAACACTGCAATAAGTATTTAAGGAAAGTATTTATGCTGTTTTGATGCTAACAGTTTTTCTACTGTTAAAAAATAGGAGTAAAATATCTGATCTTTTTAGAATACTAAAATAGTAGACTTACATCAGCACAATTTATTCATAAAACTAAATGGACCTCACTATGTGTGATAGCTTACTAAGGACTTAATAAAGCTGCTAGTTTGATTCTTGCTTTCCAAAATATAGAGTCAGGCTAGGCACAATACATGGCTGCTATTTAACAAAATGTGCAGGCAGCAAATAATGTACAATTTAAAAACAAAATAAAGATACAGAAATGTCTTTTAGTAACTAGGACAAAAGCTGAACTCAAGCAGTCTTGCAGAAATTAAATGAAGTAGCCATTGACAGATTTTGAAATGCAAGACTTGTTTTTTATGAGCTCACACCTGAATTAAAATGACAATAGCTGCATTCCCATAGAATAGTAAACCTATATTATCAGCAGTGTGCTGGTATATAGAGCCCATTCCCTCAATCATGGCGGCTTCTGCTGACATAATTTTATAGGTGATCATATTTATCTAGCAGGTTTTCTAAACTTAAGATCTTGGTTTTCTGCATTCTTTACAAACTAGGATTCATAAACTAAAAGTTTACAGTTCTAGCTTGTAAAAGGAATAACATGACAGTGTTGTCAGTTCAGGCAACATGCTATTCAAATAATTTTTTATTCATTTGAGTGCTCACCCATTAGCGGAAGGGGGTAGGAGAAGCAATCATATACCAGCAAATGATGTTAAGTGCGCTGTAATGAAGCTCATTCATGGTAAACCAAGACTTCCTGTTTCAAAATATTTTTTAAAATGTACTTTTTATAATTAATTAACAGTTATTTGGAGATGTGGAAAAATATAGTGTAATAATATACCACATAGTGGTCAAACTAGTACTGCACTTCTAGAAATGCTGGGAAGTTTGGACAGAGAAAGAGGGGAACGTTCAATATATTACTTGCATAAAAATATTGCTGCTGCTACTGCTTTTAAGGAAAAGCAGATCTGGGGCAATGTTCAGCAAATAAGCCATTATGTGTAAGGGGGTCTTCTAAATCTTCTCCTTGCTTGTTTTGTTTGTTTTTGCAAGCCATTTCTTCTCCCCCGCCTAACAATATATTTTTGCCTTTACACATGCATTAATGTATTTGTGTGTAGTTTGATGCATACAGTTGTGTTGGCAAAATAGTAGATAAGGGAAAGAGAACTTAGAAAAAACAACTAAATTTAAGTATGGGTTTTTGACATATATATTTTTTAATGTAATTCCATATGTTCAAATCTAGTTTGTATAACTGATTGAAATTTGTAAAAACAATTGAAATTAAGATCAGAAGAACATGTCTAGACGCCTGTCTAGTTCTTTTTCCCGTAGTGGCCACTCAGTTTCCTATAGTAATCATGGAAACAAAATATGAAGGCCAATAGTCCTTGGCAATTTTGGGAATAACAAGTATATTCAAAGATATGGCTCTTCTGATCTTGGTGATGACATGTATTCAACTTGATCAATAGCCATTGTAAAGCTGTTGATGTATTTTAAAATGTATACTATTTGTAGGACTGTGACTCTCAACCATGCAACAGATAGTGCCAAAGTGATTGGGAAAGAAATGTTAAATATGTTTCACACAATGAAACTGAATATTTCTGATATGAGAGGGGTAAGTTTTTTCAACACTCATGCTTGATTTCCTCTTCTACAAAATTATCTACTGGTATTGCTTTATTGTTCTAAATAGGAGTGGATGTGTGATAAATGTGTATTTCTTCCAATGTGATATATCCTATTACAGGTGAAATATTCCACTGCATTTTACATTGGACTGACTGGCCAGTCATTATTTAAAACAATAAACACAAATCTGAGAAGAGAAATAAGAGTATGAAAAGGAGCATTGGGCTAGAATTAAGGATTAAACAGAGATTTTAAGATCTTTCATCACCCTACCTTAATCAGCTAACTGGTACAAGAATGCTGCATCCAAGAACTATAGGTTCTTATCACTGAAATAATCTCCTGCATTTAATTTCACTATGACCTCTCCTATTATTATCCTCATGAACACCCATGCATGTGGGCTCCTTTTGCAAGATCGATCTGCCTGCCTGCCTGCCTGCCTGCCTGCCTGCCTGCCTGCCTGCCTGCCTGCCCTGCCCGCCCATCTATCTATCTATCTATCTATCTATCTATCTATCTATCTATCTATCTATCTATCTATCTATCTAAGTATGATCTTGCAAAAGGAGCCCACATAGCCTTTCACATACATACATGGGGCGGGGGGGAGGCTATAGCCTGTGAAAGGTTATTCTAAAAATAATTTCTTAATGTCCAATATCTTTAGAAGACAATAGTTTTTCCTGCAGCAGACTAAAACAGCTAACCCTCTAAAATTAATGTTCTGTAGTTTGAAAATTGTTTCTGTTTAGAAATATTACCCTGGTGTCTTGTTTTCTAGGTTGGAATCCAAGTGCATCAGCTAATTCCAGTTAATAAAACAACTTCCATGTCTTCCTCTTACACTTCATTACCTTCTGGATTCTTGCCTGGTGGAGCTGATTCTATTATTGATCTTTTGCAAGTTCCAAAAGCTGTGAAGAAGTCCAAGAATAAAGAAGAAGAATGCAAGGAAGGTTGGAAAATAAATAACAATTGTGCTTTGGTTTTTTTATAGCTTTTTAAAATAAATTAAATGTTACAATTTTTATAGTTCTTACCAGAAAACAGATTTGCTTCATAAAAAGTATGTTACATTAATAGCGTTACCTTTTGCAGTAAAGATAGTTGAGTTATATTTGTAGTTTCAGCTTGGTGTTCTGCAGTGATTGAAAATGTTGTCTTTTTCTTGAATTAATAGTATTTTTGGCTGCTGTGGATGTTGAAATATCTTCTACATCAAAAGCATGTGCAGAGTTACCATCACTAGCAACTAATCTCCATCATGTTACCAACAAATCTGAGCCTAGTACCAGTTTGAATGGCTTATATCCACCAATCAATATAAAATCTAGGCTTAATTTAAGTATTGAAGTGCCATCACCTTCCCAGGTAAAATTTTCTTATATGAATAATATAAAAAGTCATATTTCCCTTTCTTAATAAAGGATGCATAAGATGAATGGTTTTGGCTTTTTTGTATCCTCTGTTTCTTACCAGTCCAGTGCATAGAGTTTTTCCTGGATCTGATTTGAAAAATAACTCCTTTCACTGAAATAGGAGGGAAATTGGTCTGAACTCCCTGAACAATAAGGAAAGAAGAGCATTGCCACTCCCTTTCATCTGTTAGTCTAAAACTACCAGAGATGTTCAGATTTCACTGAACAGAATAGGATTGTTCTATGAATAATTTATATTATTAAAATATAGGATATGTCAAACCTGTTTTATTGACTGAATTATTTCAATTTTAGCCATTTCTCCTCGGATTTCAATCACTCATGAAAGGCTTAAGGATTTAGTTTAACTGGTCCTGACCTTAGCTAATAGGAGCACACTGGTGCCTTGAATGCATTTACTCAACATTAGATGCTACTATCACGTGTAGATACAGGTGCAAGAGAAGAAGCAGCTTCCTCCTATTATAGTCTATATATTTTGTACCTGTCTACTTAGCAACCAAAGAATAAAATATAATGCTTTGGAGAACAGTTCTGCGTTTAAGTTACATCAGGTTTTCATGTTCCAGTGTTTTAAAGTAAAACACTATTAACATTTTTTTCTTCATAGCTTGATCAATCTGTTTTGGAAGCACTCCCTTCTGATCTTCGAGAACAAATAGAACATGCATATTCTCTTCAAGTAATAGACGCACATGATAATAGCAAGAAGGAACCAATAAATGGATACAGTACTAGCTTTCCATTACAGCCTGCTGGAAACGTTCTCTTACAGATGCCAGACCTCAGAGAATCAAGCAGTGATGCTGGGATTAATGTAATAGCACTCCCAGCATTTTCACAGGTAAATGATATTAAGTATTAGTATTAGTAGACTTTAATGTGGTAAGCATTTTCTATAGGAGAAGTTATGTTAGATTTCTAGCTAGAAACAGCATTAGTATAAATATGTTTCTTACACTAGAGCCAAAACTCAGAAGTGTAAACATCATTATTGTTTATCAGTGGTATAATCATAAGTGGATGCTTTATGGCTTAGGTGGACCCTGATGTTTTCGCTGCCCTACCTTCAGAATTGCAAGAGGAACTTAGAGAAGCATATGACCAAAGGCAAAATCATATAGAGAACATTTTACAGCAAACAAGTGCCACTGGTAAGTCTTTGGATGCAGTCCTGTCAAATAATGATGTGTAATCTGTCTTACTTAGCAAATTTTTATTACAGTGGCTATCATGGTTATTTCTTTAATCATAAAGTACTATGCAATTCTCATTCTTACTTCTTTTTTCCCAGTATCAAATAATCCAGTTACAAAAAATAAGAAAAGAAATAGAAAGAAAATCCAAGTCAGCCCGGTAAAAAAGAACCTTAGCCCTTTAAAAAGCAAGCTTTTGGGTAACCCTGCAAAAAATATGGTTGTTTCTGTTGGAAGTCCTCAGAAATTAATGGATAACTTCTTGAAACAGGAAAAAGCAACAAGTGACAATCCTCAGGTAACTTTATCATAAGCCAAAACAGCGTTTTTGTATTTTTAAAATCATTTTGATTTAAAATCATAGGTTTCTTATTTTTCTGGGGTTCTTGTGCTTGGGCTTTTTAAATGTTTCCTATTGAGAAGACATGGAGAAATTATCATTTCTGTATACCTTGTTTCTGGATAGATGGAAGAAGTACAAGCTGCTGAAGACCCTTCCAGTCCATCTATTTCACAGCCATTATCATCTACCACAATTTGGCCTCAAGCACCTAATCTAGCAGGAGCTATTGAGTTTAATGATGTAAAGGCCTTGCTTAAGGAATGGATTACAACTATATCAGGTAAACTCTAGGTGTATGACTTTTTAATGCAAGAGTTAGTGTGTTTTTGAAATAAACTTAATTGAAAGAAGTGGAATGATCTTTTTTTTAACAAAAATCTAGACTTCATGTTTGTACTGGATGTCATCAAATGATTGCATACTACAACCCTGGCATCATTATTTTTGAACAGAATAGAAGAGGGGATTCAATATTTAAAAATATTCTTAGATTGATTCTTAATATTATTTATTAAGAGCTAAATTTCCACTATTGACTGCATTCTGAAATATTCAAAGGATATTTATCTGTCTAAAATGCCAGACAAGTGTCACTTCTAGTACACATGATTTCAAATTACATGATGTTCAGAATCGCAGAAAGGAGAATTCTATTTCTGTGCAGTGCTTTATAGTTCTGGATATCTGTGAGGATCGTCTGTTGATGCCACAGGTAGTCATGACAGTGTAACTAAGCCAAAAAGACTACCACAGATGAAATGGTATTTGCCTGGAGCTGGGGGGAGATCTTGATCAACCTCCTCTGTGGAAGACTTTTTTTTCCCATGACCAGTCAAAACTATTGAATATTTAAAGGAACATTGGGCTGAATGTGTACTTTGCTTCAAATTTGCCCCCATTCATGGAACAACTTAAAGATGGAACAAACAGAAGGGGTTGAATTCCATTCAGAGTTTTATGGAAGAGGAGGTTACTTTGTATGATTTTGTTAAAACTTTTCTTTTCAAATTGCTCCTTGAATTGAGACAGGAGATGGGGATATGCCTTAAGCTATACTGATCAATGAGCAGTCTTGCTGACTGTTCATTGGAAGGATTGATAATGAAGCTCAAGCTCAGATACTTTGGTCACCTAATGTGAAGAGAGGACTCTTTGGAAAAGACCCTGATGCTGGGAAAGATTGAAGGCAAAAGGAGAAGAGGACGGCAGAGGATGAGATGGTTAGATAGCATCACTGAAGCAATGAGCATGAAACTGAGCAAACTCAGGGAGGCAGTGAAGGACAGGAAGGCCTGGTGCGATATAGTTCATGGGGTCACAAAGAGTCGGACACGACTTAACGACTGAACAACAACAGTACTGATCGTGCACAAGACTTTTTCATACATAATGGAAGAAGAGAATCTTAATTTACTCCCCTTGAAAGAGGCAGAATTTTTTTTCTGTTTTAAAGGGAATAACAATTTACATGAATGTCAAAACCTCCATTAATTTAAAGCTGCTTAATCTCTGCTGTTTCGAAGAGGCATTCTATAAATCATGTATAATTTTGCAGATCCCATGGAGGAAGACATTTTGCAAGTTGTGAAGTATTGTACTGATCTGATAGAAGAAAAGGATTTAGAAAAGCTGGATCTAGTCATAAAGTATATGAAAAGGTAATTAGATGCTTTGTATTCTTGATACAAAAATAATTTTTTTTAGAATAAAAAATCTAAGTAACATTGAAAATAGTTACAAAACTTGATTTAAGAATTTCAGCTAGTGATTCTTACTTCATAGCTGCATATCTTCTGTTTGTCACATTATTTTTTACACAATTGAATATCTGGGACTTGTTCATTTGTGGTACTGCATCCACATTTATTGTGGATGTGATTTCTCTGCATTATACTGATGGGTTTGCACTTGCAATATTCTGGAAGATTCCTGAGATGAAACCTGTTGATGGCAGTCCTGCCTCTCTCCTGCTTGGTTTGCATTAACTTGCCCCAAATCCCCTGCATTGCAATATTATTACAGCTTTATTAGGATATTATATCATCAACTTTATTAAGAGTGTTCTCTGTGATTCTGTACTCTGAATACAGACTCATGAAGAATATGGTGAGTTTCCTTTTTTCCTTTTTCGTTCTATTAAAATGTTTCTCCTTTTGTTGCCAACATTTTCTACTGTTTGAGGAGCCCTTTTACTGCATGACCGTTCCCCAGAAATTTCACTTTCTCACAAACATTAACAGCCTTTTCTGTTTAGCTGAAGGACATTGTGTGGATTCCTATCCATTGCCCAAAGTACTGGAATCAGAATTAGTCCTCTTGCCTTCATGTCCTCCTCTGAGAAAAAGCTTTAAAAGCAATAGTTTCAAATAAGTTTTCTTTGGGACTCTTCAGCCTCAGCCTGTCAGATGCAAGTGGTTTTGTTCTCTCTGTGGCCACATCTATGGCAGTGAAGTAAAGTGAGCTCATGTGTATACCAAAGTGGTGTGGAATCATGAAGATTGAGACTTCATGAAGGAGTACACTTTCACCTCCTCCCCACATTTCAGTAATTGGCAAGGCCTTGCCAAGATCCACAGAGCCAAAATTCTTGCAGTTTAATGACCTCTTGGTGAAAGCAGGGACTGTGGTCTTACTGTAGCTGTCAAGTGACAGTGAGCATTGTTCCCTCAGTGATAAGCTTCCCTTAGAACAGGTAGCACTGTATTCACCACATTGATATTTCAGCTCTTTCACCTATAAAGAACTATGAAACTACTTGTATTTGTATGGCAAATTTTTCCTTCCTGTTTTATTGAAGAAGTAGTTCAGTTTCTGCTGTGTTAGAAGTTTCTCTGCCATCTTCGCAGACGTTTATTTGGCTTCCCTTTCTCCCTTTCATTTTCCTGCTCATGATTTCTCTGTCCCATTCCCTTCTTCCAATAACCAGCATTCCCACCCCCAAGATAGGATTAAATTGAAAAAAATTGAAGTAAAACATCAGTAGGAAGTACTAAGAGCTTCTCTCTATTTGCCTTTTGCATCTGTACTAATCTCCCTCATAATGGTGGCTTCAGCCTGTCAAGCAGGTAATCAGCCCTTGAGAATCAGCCCTGGTTTATCTGATTTAGCGAAGTTACACTCAACGCGATCACCTTAATTCCTAAGAGGTTTACTTTAAATTCCACCTTTCCCAGGTCACTATGCTGTCATTTTTCTACTCCAGCTCTTTTAGATGTTTGGAGTCTTCCTAATGCTGTTGTGTGTCAAATGTAGTTTAGCCTTTTACAGTAACAGAACTGTAATTTTGTAAGTCATAGACATTTTATGGCATAAGGTCCAAAACCTTGCCTGATCAGCATGATGCACAGACTACAAACAAACAAGAGTTTGCTTCTCTGTAACTATGGTTGAGTGGCTATCTGCTTTCACATAATCCACCTGCCATGACTTTCTGCAGCTGCTCCTTCTGCTGAGCTCCCCTGGCTGTTAAGGAACTGAGGGGATTTTTTAACAGGCCAGCATGAACTTCTGTATAGATGGATAAGGTTCCAGGCAACAGTTCAGCTAGGCTACACGGGTGCAAACCCATCAGTGTGCATGCTCAGAATAACCCTGATTATAGACAAGCATTTCGGTTTGTCTGTCTCTGAACTGCTCTCACTAAATACCAGTCATACCTTGTTCTTCCTGAAACTTCTGCTTCAATTTCTGAATTTGTAAACTGACAAATATTTCTTAGCAATTAAGCAGAATGCCATTTGAAACAAGTTGTGATTGACATATCGTTGTTTAAATAGGGTATGATTTAATACCCTAAATACAAAATGCATAATTTTGTATGTTTGTCTAGTGACATTTTATATTTATTTTTGAAATGATCTTGTATACGCAGTTCAGTTTAGTGTGTGTATATGAATGAATGAATTTTTCCACAACTTCCCCCCCCAACTACTTTGTTACTGAGTGTTTTTCACACAAGAAAGCAAACTACAAAAAATACAGCTAAGCATGTTCTATGAGTTGGGTCACTGACTGACTAAAGAAATTGGTGGCGGCTGTTTTTTAAATAACTATTTCCAAAGAAGCAGTTCCAGCTCAAAATCTTCTTGCTTTGCAAATCTATGAAAATGTGTGATGATGAGTTTTATTTTCCATTCTATCACCTTTTATCTCTACAGGCTAATGCAGCAGTCCGTAGAATCCGTATGGAACATGGCATTTGATTTCATTCTTGACAATGTTCAAGTTGTTTTGCAACAAACTTATGGAAGCACATTAAAAATTATCTGAACTGATCTTGTAGAAAAGGATGTGGTAAGAGCCTGGAGCTCTTTGGTAGCTGTGCCATAAGTGCTTGTGAGGTATTTGCAAAGTGCATGACATTAAGCTAAGTTTTTATAAGTTGAAATTTTTTTTAAAGGAGAAGGTGTTTTGTACATTTTCTTTCAGCAAAGTGCCAAAATTTGTCAGTATTGCATGTAAATAATTGTGTTTAAATTCTTTTATTGTAGTATAGAATCTATTTACAAAATGTTTGTTTATAAAAGTTTTATGGATTTTTACAGTGAAGTGTTTACAATTGTTTAATAAAGAATTGTATGTAATTTGTACATATTTTGTTGTTTCACTACTTTAATTCTCTTTCCTAAATGCTATAAATTTGAACAATCAATATGAATTTAATATTTTTATTGGCTAAACATTTATGTTCAAGCTCAGTTTTACACAGTGGTAGAAGGCTCTCTGAAAAGTGTTTGTGTAGTGATATGGACTTTAAAAAAAAAAATTATTCCTGGACTTGTCTAACATGAACAACAGAATCCTGGCACTGCATCTCTGTCTCCGTACTTGGCTAAATCTGATGATATAAATGCAGCCATGTCTGTTCCTACCATGCATATCATTTTTCCTTAATATCAAACAAGTGTAAAAGAGACACTTTCATATTGGCAAAATATTCAGTTTTCATTAATAATCAGAGATTTCCTTTTTTTTTAAAGAGATTCTGTTATGGCAATCTAGTGAACTAAATCTTCAAAAGTTTAAAGTGAGGTAAGAACGTCATGTCTACTTGATTAGGTCAGGTGGCTGGTCTCACCTAACACTTTAGCAGATGGGGGGTTCCTCCCATAACACTAGTGCAAAGACCTTTCTTCTTATCCTCATATCCACCTGGTAGTTCTAGCAACGTATCAACCTACCATCACAACACAGTCTCATTAGAACCTAGGGAAATTCTCTACCACAGCATTTAACTTCAGAGTTTGTAATATGCTAGAGTTGAGAGATGAGGCTATATGAAAGTGGTTTAAGGCCTTAAACCAATGCCATTACTTCACAATTTCAGAGTATATTGGAGAACAATGAGCATTAAAGAAGTACTTAATCTTATCTGCTAAAAATGATACCTTTAAAATAGACTCAAGTTACAGTAGACCCTACAGTTTCTACAGACTTGACTGCTTATTACCCATGTTAACCAGCTTCTTTCAACTTGTAGAATTTTAGCTATTCTTATTTCATTTACAATTTTGACATTACTGCTTGTGTTCTGGTAATAATGGTTGCAATGGGAATCATTTCCTTAAGCATGGCTGGTTAAGGCCATTCTGCAAACATGATCCTCCAATGTTTCAGGCAAAGAACTAAGAACTAGATTGCTGATAGTCTGCCTTCTATGTAACCTTAGCAATAAATGATACTGTGATGCTATCAATATGTAAGATCATCCTAAAATGATTTCATTTTAGCCCACCTTCCCAGCTAATGTATACAATTATACATGAATACTACAGCATCATTTGCATATTAATAGGATCACTGCACAAAATAATTTTTCAACCACACTGACCAGATCAAACTGTTCAGCTATGTTCTTCTAAGCATTGGGCAGAGACATTTTATTCCATCTTTGTAACCGAAGGCCTACACAAGGGGACTACTAAAGTGTTCAGACCAGACACACATAACTAAATTTTGACAGATATATTTGCATGCTGCACTGCCTTTATTAGGAATTAAATTATCAGGGTAATGTTCATTTCTTTTATTTGCAGTTCAGAATTAATGATTAATTTGCCAAATTTCATAAACTGTACAAGCAATAAAAGGCAGCCAACTATGCTTTACATCATTGTTTCACACCAACCAAATACAGACAGCCAATTACCTAATTTTTCTATAATAAATTTCTATAGGCACAAAGCAGAAGGGTGATGAAAAAAAATCGAGGAAGAGGTATGCATAAATAAACATTTCTTACATCGAAAAACTCCAAAAGATCACAAAGTCTGTAAGAGTTTGATTAGGCAAATACCGTGGTACTGATCTTACTAGTATAAAAGTGAAAGCTGAGTTACTTAATAAAAAAATTATTTTCTTTTAATTTGGGGGATGTGAACTGGAAAGGGCAAACTTTAAAAGTAGCCAGTACAAAGTGAAGGGCATTGGGAAAGATGCACAGGCACATTGGAACCACAGGGACATAAATTGACCACTGTCAAACCAGTGTAAGTTATTTGGTTTCTCATGGAAAACATTTTATCCACATTTTTCCCAGATGTTTGTTAAATCCAACAGCATATTTATTATAAGCTGTTGTTGCTCTTGTAATAGGAACTGTGGGTTTTTGCTAATCATTGCTCAATGTTTGACAGAACCTAGATGATTTCAAATACTTTCTTGAGCTCCACAATAAGCTGCCAGTCAGACTTCTGCATTTCATCTCTGAACCAGTCTTTCAGGGCATCAATGGACTGACGACTAATCTGTAGGTAGAAAACCAAGATGTTTAACATCACTCCCCCTGGCTGTAAGAATGTTAATATGTGTAGCACAAATCTATGCTGCTCAGATTCTAGTACATGATGTCTGATAAATTTCAGAAACCAAAATAACATTTTTAAAAGTTGCCACATTATTTCCTATACCCCACCTTAACTACTGTAGTGATCTTCTCAACCATTTTTAATTTTAACCTCCAGAAGCAAAGAATGATTTTCTATCAAAATTTCTGTAACAGGCTCTTCATGCACCAAATGCTGGCATATCAGTCTAAATTCTATCCCATTTCAAAAAAGGCTGATTGTCCTCCTCAGATTCATGCAAGCATGACACCCCAAATTTTTTAAAAAAAATGCTTACCTTGCTGACAAGCATATCAGTTGCTTCAAAATGTCGACCATACATTTTGGGTGCTTCACCAGGAATCGGTTCTATTTTTACACAGACTTCCTGACCTTTTTTTGCAACATCTACTTGTTTGTGATTTATTTCAATACTTGTAACTATTCCAATGTCAATGAACTGTAATAAAACAACAAAACTTAAGACGTACTTTTTATGAGCATTCAATTTTCAGACGGGCATAAGCAAAATAAACTATTCAAAATATAACTAGACTTCTAATAGTCACTTCTCCATGTAAGACCTGAAGAACAATATGGCAGTCTTTTGTTAAATTATCTATTGGATAGTACTGTATGTATGTGACAGACGATGCAGTGAAAGTTTTAAACTAGAAACTAATTATCTCTGAATGCCCAGAAGACCTTGGGAGGGAAGCTTTGCACGCTGTTACTCATATATTTATTTGAAAAAATGTTTGTCTTTTCCAAATTTAAGATTGCAAGCTACAAAGATAAAGTAGATCCAGAGACAAAATCAGTATTCCATAGAAGTCATGATAAAGGACATTTCAGCAAAGAATCCAAGCTCCTAATCTATGCAACTTAACTGCAATATAGACTGCTGGGTTTTTTAAAAAAAAAACTATTATCAAAATATGTTAAAATGAATTACAGTTTTTTTATGATTATTATCCAAATAATCCTTCTTTTAAGAAAGACAGAATACCTTTAAAGATATAAAATACTCACATTTTTACTAGGTACACAGATTGGAGTTCCTTGTTTTACCTGACCTGCGTCCACAAGGACTCCCATCACTATGGGATCTCGAGAATTAAAAATAAATTGAGGAAGTATTTTCATCTTACAAGGGAATACTGCTATATGCCTGGGGGAAGGGGAGAGAGAGAGATGGGAAAGAACTGTTAAAAATGTGATTTGAAAATAAGGCTGCATGCTCAAAAATCTATTTTTATTTAGAATTATCCATTTCTGAGAAACCTAGATGGAAAATAATTTAAATCCATAATACCATATCTATTTAAGCAGCTCCTAAATCACATATAATCCTTAGAACGGTGAATATTTAATAAAAAAATTATTATTTTAATTAATATTATTTAATCATTATTAATTAATATTAATAATTAATAATTAATATTAATTAATATTAATTATTTTTATTAAATATTCTACAACGTGCATGTAACTGTTTGGTAAGCTTTCCTCAGTAATCATAAAGCACTCATTTTATCCAGGTTTCTAACAAATCTCCACCTGATGCAGACTAGAATTCTCAAACATTTGGCAGTCTATTAAACTTTAATTAGTTTGGTCACCTGCATGAGTTGCCTGTATTATTTTATCAAGTGATAAAGAAAACTATTAAATCATAAAATGGTACAATGTATCATAAAAGGTTGCTATCACTACCAACTATGGTATCATTCTGCAAAACAGTTATTACTTGTTACATTCATTTTAGCAGTTTTCTCAGTCCAACAAAGTAAGTCCATAAACCCAAGCAGGCTTCTATGTACAGGCAGTCCTCATTTAGCAACCACAATTGGGACCAGCAACTCCATCACTAAGCAAAGTGGTTGCTAAGTGGAAAATCACATGATCATGACTGCTTTCCTTTCCCTCACTCCCCCGCCCTTTGGAATACCCCAGTGCTTGGATAATTAGCAAGAACAGAATTAATGTTTGCATGTATGTTAATTGGAGAGGAAGGGATTACAAGAGAGTAAGCAGGCACACAACAGGGAATACACAGCGAAAGCAATGCGCTGGTGCTGGCAGCTGCAAGCACGCTATGCAAACAGCCCAGTGTATTCCCCATTGTGTGCCTGCTTACTCTCTTGTAATCCCTTCCTCTCCAATCTCTCTGCTCTGCAAAGGGGGAAAAAAAGAAAAACAACAGGCCAGGCCCAGGACAACACGTACTAACTGTAATGGCAATCATGTGACTGAGAGACACTGTGAAGGTTGTAAATGTGGGCATAAGTCATGGAGTTATTTTTTCAGCACCACTGTAACTTTGGTCACTGAAGGAGGCAGTTGGCAAGCGATGACTATCTGTATATCTCTCCACATCTGTTTCTACCTGTCCTACCTGATCCTGTAGGAGGAACGTGCTCCAGATCCTACTGGCTAAGTGTCAGCTGGCAGGGCCCAGAAAGAGAGCCTTTTCTGCCATGGTGCCCATCCTTTGGAACATCATTCCATCTCAGATTAGACTAGCTCCAACCCTGATGGACTTGCAAGGCCTGAAAACTTGGCTTGGGTCGTGTGTGAGAACCCGTCTCTTGGCTTTGTGATGGATGTTTTTAGGATGCTTCGCTGCTGTGTGTTTTTATTTTTATATTAAGAATTTTTGTATTTTATGTATCTTATTTATTTTATTGTAAGCTGCCTAGAGTCACATATGTGAGATGGGTGGCTATATAAATCAAATAAGTGAACAAACAAACCTCTTGCTCGATTAAGAAAGCATATCAGCACCAACTAAATTATAAAAGGACGCGGTGGCGCAAGGGCTTAATGACGCTGGAGTTGCTGGTCAGAAATGATTGGCTCTCCAGCGGTTCGAGCCCAGCTCCACGGAACAGGGCGAGCTCCTGTCCCCTCTCCTAGCTCCTTGCTCACCCAGCAATTCGAAAGCTATTCCATCTGCGAGTAGATAAATGGGTACCCCCGTTTAGATGGGAGGAACCGGCGGTGCTGCGCAGGGGAGCAAAATACCGGTGCTGGCC